CCTGCTGAAACATTAAGGATTTTTCAATGCCACTGCTGTTCATGAATTTCAGAACAGTTTCTGGATCCAGGTTTTGAACAGATGTGGTATTGGCAAAATGTTTCACAGATTCCCCCCCACCCCCCATCCCTTTTTTTTTAAACTAGAGGGAACTAAACTGTTTATAGCAAGAAATAGGAGGCAGCAAGGGAGATCACAAAAATAGAAGAGGCTGCTCTCAATTAAGGATCTCCCCAGAGGACTTTTGTTCCTACCAGGTGTTTAGAACTGCTTCTCTTTGCTGTTGTTATTAGGTTTCCCCTGAGAGAGGGGCAGAATTTTTCATTTATTTTCTCCAGCCATACTAAACAGCACATTAATGCTGAAATATAGATCACAGAAAGTCTTCAAGGGACGCTGGAAAAGGGCCCAGTATTACAGCAGGGAACTTCCATAAAGCAACGAAGACGACCGTTTTGATTACAAGTTTTGGAAACTATGATGCAACTTTTTGAGAACCATGTTCAGAACAAGAAGAGAAGAGATCTGGGAGTGCTAGCATCATATGGAACCAGACTGTTACCCTCCTCTCTTCAGAGCAAATCACATACTATGGAGACTTCAGTATAAGCTTTTACCATAACAGCACAGATCTATGTTAGGCTTCAAGTAGGAAAAAAAAAAAAAAGAAAGAGGAAAAAAAAGAAAAAAAGGAGTCAAGCACTTCTAATTTACTTGGAAATAAAGCCTTCATGCAGACAAACTATTTCAGTAACCCCATTAAAGAACAGCAATATAAAAGCTCGGAAAAATCTTAAGTTTATGCTCATGGAGGTACAAATAAGGAAAATGAAGGCTAAAGCCAGTCTGTAATTTAACATATTCAGAAGAAAAATTGAGAATTTTAATCTTTTGATATCTTAAATATCACTAATTTCAAATATCTCCCCTGATCCAGAGGTAAAAGCAGTGTTGGAAGTAAGAAAACTTATCTGAGAATAGACTTGTATGTTAGAAATGCTGTCCTGTATGCATAATGATGCCAACATTAATTTATACTTCACACTTGAGACATACATAGAACCCTCTCCTCCCCTCAGTTCACAATCAGCCTGGAATTCTTCTGTTTCTTAAGGACAAAATAAATCCATACAAACATTTATTCCACCAGTGAATATACAATGCAAATAATTTATCTCATCAATAACCCTCATTTATGTAATCAGAGAATCCTTTGAAAGCCTATTTTAAACAAAAAGGATTCCTGGTACTTTGGTTTCACATCAATACTTCTATTCTAGCTCCCTGTACCTCACTTTGAGCAAAAAGTTTCACTATGCATGCATGGTGCAGCCACAGCACAACCAACTTCAGGAAAACATGCTACTGCTCTGCAAAGGGATGTGTTCTCCTACATGAATTACATTTCCAAGATAAAGCCTGAGACCTCATAGAAATACACTCTTAAGCATCTTACCTGCTTTGTCATTTGCCAAACACAGTCGATGAACTGAAGGAAAATAGGAGATCTGTCTGCATCAGCATGATCATCATCTCCATGTCCTACTCGCTGAAAGTCAAAACAAACTTTTCATTTCAGTCTAGTGTATTTACAGTACCATCCCGACACTTTAAAGCTGAGTAACTCTTAAATATGTTCCAATGGTGAACAAGACAAGCAAATCTTCCATAATGCTAACCTGTATTTTTCAACTCCTAAAAATGCATCCCAGTATTCACTTATGGACATGCCTTTGCTATTGAGCAGAGCTGGAAAGACACTTTGTCAACAAAACTGTGCCAGCTGTTTCCCCATCTTTCACTGCACAGCCATGTATTTCTACCAGTGGGTCAAACTGGTAGGTATTTACTAAGACTGTACTGAAACAACAATTATTCCATATGCACCTGCCATAACTACATGGCATTTCTCCTAAATCAGAGCCCACAAAATGTCATAATAATTTATGTCCTAATTCCCCACTAGCCCATGTGTTAAATAAACAAACACTTCAACCCTAAATCAGAGTAATGGTTCCAGCAATTTTACCTTCTAGACACCTTAATTGTTTTCCTTGTTTCTCCATTCATAAGATGGAGCAATGTGTTACAACCCCTCTTCCTCTTAAAAAAAGCATGTGATTTTTTTTTTAACCATGACATTCAAGCCACTTCATTCTTATTTACTTTATAATATACCTCACACACAGATTTACTGTTAAAAATGAACAGGTCACAATTCTCTGACACACTCACACCATTAAAAGGACACCAGAGATAATAACTAAAATGCAGCAGAGTACTGCGAGAAAGCATGCTATTCAAAATAAAAGCCTTGAAGGTGACAAACTGCATGCTAAATCTTTCAGCTTACCATTGCAAATCGGTGTCCAAAACTTATCCATTCTTTCTCTATAAGAACTTCAAACCCCTTGATAGTTCTGTAATAGCTGTCCAGCATAAGCATAGCTAGTGCAGTAAGCTGTGCAGTTCGATCCCAGCCATCACTGCAATGTACCACTACAGATGTTTTACCAGATTCAATTTTATCCGCAATTCTTACTGCTCCAGCAAGAAGCATCTTAAATAAACAAAAATAAACAAACAAGCGTATTAAATACTAACCAAAACTCTACCAAAAAGAGTTATCGTTTTATACTCTTACGGTTAATATATTTTAAAATTTCAGATTAATTACATAATCATCTGGATGACATTGCTCTAAATTAGAGATTTCCAAATGGTGGCATACATAATCCTAGAGGTACAAAAACTGTGTGCACTCTGTTGTCCAGGAGAGAGTTCTTACCAGCTGTCCATTATTAGTAGCACATAGCAAAAGAACCTGGGAATCCCTTCTCTAAATTAAATATGAAATTCTGTATCGTGATGAAAAGACACAAATACTGTGTAACCTATTCCAAAGGCTGAAGGTGCAATGTTTTCAAAGTTCATTTTCACAGTAATCAATCACTTTCTTCCTCAGCTTTCAATTCTCAACTACCAAGCTTAGAGAAAGGGACAAACTATCCAGCTAATCTAAATCAAAACACAACCCAAAACAACCCAGAAATCGCTGGCTGGGAGCCTGTGCTGATTTGTTGGTGCATGAAGTAAGTATATGTTGTATTCAACCCATGAGCAGACCATTAATAGTGTGGATTCAGAAGCATGCTGGAGAGTAAAGGATAGAGATGGCACAGGACTGAGATCACCCGTGTGAACTTGTTATTCTTCTCCCCCCCAAAAAACCCTCTCTTGTTCTCTTATGCTGCTCTGTAGTTTTTTAAAAACTTGAATAATCTCTCTCCTGTGAAGACTTGTCTCTGTAACACGATCTATCATGGCACTGTAAAATATGTGAAAAAAACCAACCACTAGAACAGGACCACAGGAGAAATTCCTATTCTGCATTCCAACATCAGAAAACGGAATCTTGCAAAATACTTGCATTTTTCCCTTCCCAAGCATGTAAAAACATCTTCTGGGAAGTAGGAAAGCCAGCGCCCACTGGAGAAGCTGTGCACAAGACCAGTCTTCAAAGCTATTTCAAGAACCATGCTTCAGAGACAATTTTCATTGATTGTATCTTGCATTGATTGTATCTTTTATGGTAAAACTGAAGGATGCCAGGATGGAAATATCAGGAAACAATACAAAAGCTTCTATGGGATAATAGAGCTTGTGGTCAGAGCTAGTTAATTGCCAATTACTTCAGTTACAAAACTCCATTGCACTAAAAAAGTGCAAATATTAAAACAGTTTGGTCTTCAATAAAAGCAGAAAACTAATCTATATAACATACAGGTATGCAATAGCTTGCTCTAAATTGTCCTAAAGAGAACACAGATGCCTCTGAAGGAGTACAGCTGAAAATAAAAGGATGGAACAGATACGGGCAATAAGCAGAGAATGGGAGACAGAAAACATAGTTACTATTAATGCAGTAAATATCTATGGAGTAGGTGAAGCATTTTTTTCTACTTTGGACAAAAGCCTTTAGAAAACAGCTTCCTCCACAAACTATTATTATTCTTTATAGATGTTTCAAAACTTAGCAACCATCCCAGTATTTCAGTTAGGGCTCCTAATGAATAACTGGCTTTGGATTGGTTTAGAAAATGAGGATTGGTTTAAAAATAATTAATAGCACAAGTTCTACCCTGAAAGTCAGAAAATACCCTGGAGGACATGAGGAAACACCCTGGGTGTGCAAAAAGCATGAAGTGACTCTACTCCTGTTGTTACTACTGTCTTCACATGCACAGAACATTATTGGTGCCTCCCCAGACACCCCTGGACCATCTTCAAAGTGCTGTGGGTGCCCAGTGCTAGGAAGGTGAATTTCCAGTAATGCATCACATTAAACTGGGACACAATCGCGCTGGTCTGGGCCCGGAAAACAAAAGATGTGTTAGAGTAAAGCTGTGGATTTGTTATCTGCTATTACAAGCCAAATGGGATAGGCAAGGAAGGCGAGCAACTCCTGGATGAAGACACAGGGAGATACTAGCAACACTGTTAACACAGTAATGGCAGCTTTTAAGAAATCAGGCTGCAGTTTGTGCTGTCAATACCATAACGTGAAGTATCACCTAAGGGACAGATTCATGAAGAATGCTACATGTGTGTCAACTTTTTAAAATAATTTAAATGAAATTTCATATTGCTATGCTATTGTCATCTGTGCAACAGTGGTATCAAGGTCCACTTCTGACACCTTCTAAGCCCAGCAACCCCACTGAAGTCAACGTCAATGAAAGGTGACCACTGGCCCAAACAACTCCACTTTTAAAACTAGACTACTGTATTTAAGGCCAGGCTGATAAGAAAAGGCTTCCAGATACTCAGATTCCCAAAGCTGTTTGAAATAGTCCAACTTCAAGAGAACAAGAAAATTAAACTGTTCCCAAAAGATCATTAAATTTGTTTCATTCTGAATTTAAGTGTTTGCTCCCTCTACTGGTTCTCCTGCAGCAGTTAGCAAGCACTAGTTAATAGAAGAGTAAAACTAATGAACAATCCCAAACAGGTTTTGCATGAGTGACATTTGAGCCAGTTGCTAATAAAACAAATTCCACTCCATCCATATTCATCATAAACAGGGGAGTGAATGTGTAATGAAATAATCTATTCTAAAAGCATTTCAGAGGTTAGTGAAACAGACTGTAAAACTGAGTATGGTAGTGATTTATTTTAATATTATGTTAAATAATAGAGCAGATTATAACCCCGTAGAGCACTGGCTATAAACAGCCCATGAAAATGTAGGTGCCCAACACATAAACACTAATGTTGCATTGAAGGAGGGAAGGATGAGAAAGACTGCAGCATTTAGTGTCAAGTCCTTTTGGCAGTTATTCAAATATAATCTGAAGTTCCCAGGGCATTCTTCCAAAAAGCAGGGATAACCTTGGACTGCTCACAAACATTCCCTCTCAAGAAAATAAAACATTGTCCATCACCAAATACGATACTGTGCTATCAGGAATTAACCCATTACCTACCAATACATAAAACTGGAAATACAAAATTATTATGGAATGCTTAAAATGCTATGTTCTAAGTGACCATTTAAAAATCAAGCTTTTTTACAAGATTATTCTGATCAAAGCAATATGCTTAAATCTAGACATTATTTTAGTAATATTTTCAGAGATGCAAGTTAAAGACATGGTTTAAAACAACAACTGATTTTTTGAAACATCAAAAGTATTTTACCCTTATATATTCCAGCCAATGTGTGGAGTCCACATTTGATAGCCACCGAGCCTCATCAATAGTAGGATAAACTATTTCTTTAAGTTTACGCAGGGATTCTCTCATTACATGTATATTATGAATTTCCAGGAAGACCAACTCTGCATTTGGGTAGGCACTTTCACTTTCATATCCTCCACCTTTTGCCTGTCATTCAAAAAGTAAAAACAAACGAAAAAAAGAACATGTACAGGACTTCAGTATGAGGTTAAGAGAGTTATTTTGATCACGTTTCAGGATTTTCTGAGAGAAAGGATTATTTTAGCACTAATAAAAACATATTTTTGGCTTTTTTTTTTTCTAAGAAGCACTAAGGTATTTTTTTTAGGTGAAAAATTCTAATTGTAATAGGCTACATTTGATAATACATTCATATACCTGCCCCTTTTTACTAACGTAACCTTTGGTCTTCTGTGGGCTTTACTGCATCATTTCTCAGCTATGTCTTCATGCTGCCTTCAATTCCTGCCAGCCTTTCCAAAACGCTACAAGCAACCCACCTTTCTTCCCATGCCCTCTTTAGAGACCCTTCTTTATCTCTTTTCAACATGAACTTCTTCTCACCTCATCTCCTACTCAATCTTCAGCCTTGTAATATAGAACTACTAGTGCTAGTTATGATACCAACCTACCTTGTTTGTATCTGCAACACTATTCTGTCTGGCATCAAAGATGATAAGTTTATGTGACTGAGCATTGGCATCCATTATTGTCTGCAAATATTTTTCATCTTCTTTGCAGCGCTTATCATTTGGGCCTACCGACGGCTGACTGCATCGTGTTATTGTTGCTTGGCTCTCAGGATGAATCCAGGATAACACCTGGAATAAAAGAAAATTATTTTAGTTTACTACACTACTATAAAAGCAGCAGGCCAGAGTGCAATTAGACAATCACACTGCCTACAAGGCATTATTTCCTGGCAAATCAACAAATGCAAGTTTAAGGACAAGCTGGTGCAAAACAATATTGACAGCACACTAGCACTGCTCATCCCAAATCTGAGCTTGAAATACAAAGTGATTCTAAACATCTTAGCTTTTATTTCTAATGAAAACTAAGCCTGCTACTGCATCTTCCTAATTAGAAAAAAAAAGATCAATGGAGGAAGAAAAACTTCCATGTGGAAGTCTATGGACCTGTACACCTCCTTGCTAAGCAGATCTACAGCACGAAAACCGTCACCATCCAACATATTTAAAGGGATTAAATATGGGGATTATGCTACCTGCAAAACCTGTCCATTCTCAAGAAAACCACTACAGCTGTAGGACATTCCAGACCAAATCAGAACACAAGCTAATATGTGAATTAGCATCAGATACCATTGTGGCTTAGAAGTGTTAACTCCAAGCAAAAATGTATTACATGGCACAATAACCAAGCAATCAGACTGACATTTGAGTTGCTCTCTTCAGTTCTAAACCCACCAAGCCTAATTCTTCTTTCTTTGCCTCCCCTTCCCAGGAAGGAAGCCGGCCCACTGTTATTTAAAAAAAAGCCTAAAAGAACTCTGACCATTTCTTATAAACTACAAATTTGTAGAGCACTTTTATCTCCTTGTAAAAGTTTCACTTACTGGAACTCTGCCTTTTGCTCTAAACGCTGCCACCTTTGAGAGGTCATCATCCTTTACACTGGTTGGCACAACAAGAATAGCAGGATACGTATCACAAAGCTCATAGGTGCTGTTAACTTTGGATATTTTCCAACTCTCATTGGGCAAGCCCTGTATGAAAGCAAAACATTTTTGTATTTTTCAGGTTAGACCTTTACATATCTGAGATTGGGGCGATGAAAACTTTTATATGCTACGTACTTTTTTCTTTTAAATAAGCTATAAACTTTAGATCTTCACATAAACCAAAACACTGAAAGTCTTTCTTATTTATTATCTTTAAAACTGATATGCAAAATAACCATTTGAATAGGCTGCACACTCAGGTAAAAAGTGATCATATAGTGAAATAAAAATAGTTTTGCAACTAGGAAACTGTAGATTTACAATGACAAACTACAGTTACTCTTCTGTTTAATGCTGCTTATTCAAAAGCAAATTTTTATAAAGCCTATATCTTCTAGAAACAGTACTTGAAAAATGGGGATTTAAGAATGCATGTTAAGATAGACCAGTTTGCTCAAGTACTCAGCACCCGTTATCTCCATCAACTTTAGCGGGCACTCAGCACTCTCGAAGTCAGGCCACTTGTATTTTATTATCTAAACATGTGATCTAGACAGCCTCTGTATGTGCACCTAGAGCTGAAAATTTTGAGTAACACACAGAGACTACACAAAGTACTTATGTAACTCACCTGCCTCTTATATTCTGCCATTGGATCATACACTTTCCAGCCATTAACAGCAAACTTTTCTTTATAACTGAATGCAAAAAGAGGCTAAAGACAACAAAGCAAAGGCATAAATTACTGTCTGATGGACTGTATGCACAATAAGCTCCAAAACAGTGAACCTTCTAATATTTAAAATGTAACACTTCTACAACTCTTTAACAGCAGACAATAAAACCTTCAGTCAAGACTGGACAACACTGTGCTAGAAAGAAAATGAAAGACAGTTTCATCCTTCAAGAACATGCTATATAATTAACAAGATCAAGATAGGAAACAGTCAGAGAGAGTTGAAGCTACTTGCCTGTGATCATACAACACATCAATGGCAATGCCAGGATGAGGAAATTGGTCTTCTACCTCCCAACCAGTTCCTTACCCATACAAGCAAATGAAATAGCGTTTTGCAGTTAACTAATAATAAGACTAATTGTACCTATTTGTTGTTTTTAGACAGAACTTCTAGACTGAATTATCTACTGCAGAAAATAAGAGTCAATACATACATATTTTTAACCAGCAACATTAGGCAAACCTAGATCTCAAGGGTTATGTACAAATTAACTAACTTCACCGATAGCAGGACATAGCATAATGTTTTACAAATTAATGCAAAAAGGAAACAGGGTCAGAGTAGCTTGTCTGCTCTGTAACAGATTTTATGAATCAACATTTCAATGTTTGTTATACAGCCCTTGTATTTCCCCACCTACACTTCACAAAAAGAGGAGGGCCAGTGACAGCCTTCTGTACACCTTAAGACTTACCAGCCCATTAGAAACAGGAAATGCGCGTGTTACAAGGTTTTCAAAAATCTCCAATCTGTTCTGCTCTTCCTGTTTATAGGCCAGCCGCAAATTTCTCATATCCTGTCAAAAATAAGTTACACTATTTTACTCTATGATAAACTAAAAAAAAAAAAAGCAGTTATAAGAAATTTGATTGAAGGCAGGCATATATGTAGCACTAAGTCACTGACATCATCTAACCCACATTCGAACAGAGCACTGTAAGTGTCCGTATCAGATGACTAGGATCGTCATTAGAGTTGCTAGGTATCATAAAAATAGCCATTTTTCTTTGAATTCACTCTTGAGACAAAAGGCAGAAGTGCTTAAGACTGCAAGTAACACAAGAGGAATTGAAATACATTATGTAAATGAAGCGGGGTTCAAATATGGGGAAGTGATCAGACAGAAAACCACCACATGTGCATGCAGATTCTCTTACAGAAAAATGAAATTAAAATACTTGAATATGAATAAATCTCTACCATGCCATACCTTGCAAACTATTTCTATACCACATGAGTTGTCTCCATGGCTCTGCACTCCAATTTTTTCAACTCTACTTATGACTCCAAGGGGAACATCAACAACAAAAGGTGGATCCTGAAATTTGTATATAAACCAAATGAATTTTGTTACATTAGGAGGAACACAAACTAATATTATTCATGTATGTTTCATTAGAGACAACTGTAATTCCTGTTTAATAGTCTGCTGTGGAACATCATACTTCACTTACACCAAATTTGTCACTTTCTGAAATCCTCTTCAGCAACATTCCTATCTGAAACAATATGCAGATAGATAGTGAAGTCTTACCCTTTCAACACTTTTGATATACATTCTGAAGTCCGTCACTGTTAGTGTACCACTGACTGCTCCCATAAATGGACAGATATACATAACATCTTTAGCTGGAAAACAGACCAATTAAAGCTTTGTTTTACTATTACAGACATTGGTTCCATCAAAATCTATTTCCATTTAAAAACAGCACGATTTTTGCAGTTCCAGAAGATTTTGATCCTTGACCTCTATAGGAAAGCCTACTCTTCAGATGCTGTCAGGACTGAAAGAGCTCTCTTTATCTCAACGATGAAAACAATCAAATTCCTCAGTCCCACTGCTGCTCAGCAACTACTGAGCAACTGAGGCTGGGCTCAGCTAGCATGGGCTGCAGTGAGGGCAGGCAAGTAATAAAGCACCCTGCTGGTATTCTTAGCTGCAGGTGGCTCTGGTCCCTGCCCTGAGGTGTGAAGCACCCACACTCACCTCAGAGAGAGAGCATCCAGGTGGGCAATTACTGATGTGCACGCAACTGACCTCCAAGTAATTCAGTTATATGCCCGTATCTTTGTTTTCACTTTTATTTGAAACAGCTAGTACTCTTTTCTAGCCAAGTACTGGACTGCTAATACAGAGCTTGCCATCACAGGCCAGAGTGAAATAAATCTCATTAAGAACTGGAAACTAAGTTTTCCGTAACTTCATCTTCTTTGCTATCGCAATTTTGAAGCTTTTGAATCTATGGAGTATTCTTGGCATCCCCAAGCAGAAATACAACCTATACACCTATACGGAATAAACTAACCCTTGAAAAAAAAAAAAAAGATTCATCTATATGGAGCAAGACAACCTCTGGAACTGATTTCTCCTTCCTACATTTGGATTTAAAAGACAAAGAAAAGAAATACACATCAAATCAGCTAATTTAAAGTGGTATTAAATTAAAACAACAAAAGTCAAAAGGAAATAATATTCTGTTTTTAAATAAATAAACTAGTGATTTAATAGGATTCAGTGTAGTACTCAACAGTATGCTTACCAATAACTTTGATTGATTCTCCAGGAAAAAGTGGAGCCTCTTCCATCTGTGCTAGTTTGTTTCCATCCCGCAGCGCCTGGCAGAAATCCAAAACCATGAGTAAATCTCACTTTCCATCTGTACTACATCGATACATTTTGATGCAAAGTGCTTTTACTACCAGATTACTGGAACACAAGAAGTGTATCTTTTTTTACAAGGCACAACTGTATTAAACAGTACCAGAGTTAAAAAAAAAACAACACGCACACAAAACTCGGTATTATTTACACAGACATACATGTTAGTAACATATCAGTAATAAAGCATTTATGCAACGATTAGTTTCACATGCTAGCTACATATAGCATACAAAAATATGAACAACAAGATCAGCCAAAATTTGTAATTAATAATTTGTTAGTCTTTTGCTAAATGCAGGTACTGTTTTGGGTATGTTATCTACTTGAGAACATTTTAAAGCTCATATTAATTTTTTTTGCTATTCTTAATGTTGTTTATTTAATGTTTGAGTATTTTCATCTGAGAGAATTATACGGCAGAAGCCTTATTTATATAACATTTTAATTTCGTATTTTTGATAGCAAGAAGTCAGAAGCACCCCAGGATGCTCTATTTCAATCAATATCCTACTGAGAGTGCCACAGGTTATGGAAGAGGTCCATTATAGGAATTTTGGATCCGGAAGATCAGATTAAGAATGAAGTAATAATGAAATATAGAAGAACAATTAGCAATTTTAAAATAAGGGCCAGTTCCATAAATTTTCATTTAGGTCAATGGCTTCATTCCTGAATGATACAAGATTGATCCTTTGGGTCCTTTGTTGGCAGCTAAGATTTACAACGTACTAAAGATTTTAATTAAGAATAAAAGGGTTTGTGGGACTTTTAAGGGCCATGTAAGAAAGTGATCTCTTTCATGTCAACATGATGAGATATTAAGGTTTCAATTTTTTACATCCTGAAGTAAGAATAAATATAATGGGCTATATTACAGTAAACAAATAACCCTTCCCTTGTATTACAGCTCTGATCCACATACAAATAATTGGTAGGATTTGTTTGCCTCCAAAGAAACTACCCCAAGCCCTAATTAATAAATAATTTCTAGAGATATTTAAATTGATCTCTTGCTTTAGATTTTCTTGAAAACTAACAGAATTTTATATTCAGCACCCAATCACAAAAGATGATGTGTAGAGAATTAGCCAATACTTACAAGCTTAGAAGGACGGATATGCTCTGTCAGATAGGGGCTTACGTGCAGTATGACATTTTAGACTACATGACATTACACAAAAACCCTACCTAGCGCATAACTGGTTAGCACACTAAATGCTTTCTACGGATTCTCTTGCATGAGAAATATAAGATTTGTATGTAGTGTACAAGTACTAATATTTTGTACCTTGCTACACAGTTAATGAATGAAAGATGAGTAAAACTTGCCACCTGATCAGGTTCTGCTTCAGAATGATAGCCATTGTGTCCATCCTGAATCTCCTGCATTGCATGAGGCAGCAGTAGGGCAAGAGAGAAGTAACAGGAAAAAAACATGCAGACAACAAGTGAAAGGACAGAATCTTTTCTTTTCTGTTTCCCTTTTTTTTTTTTCTTCTTTCCTTAAAAAGACAGCATATACTTTAACTCCAGTTTAGCTATTCAAAATCTTCCACTCCTGGTACAAACTACTTTCCACAGAAAGGAATCCAAGCTATTAGCACAATGCTTTTAATGTTATTTGGCACAACACAAAATGAAAAATGTAATCCCTTTTTCACAAAAGAGTCAGCACTGGTAGATAAGAACATAAAAGTATGTACTGTCTTTTTAAGACAAACAACCTTATAGTGAAGAAAATTAATTCAAAGTATGCCACATGCTTATCAATAGAAGAAATTGAGTACAGCTTGCAATGGTAGCATTAGGGGAAAACTCATGCAGTCTTTCAAGGAAAAAATAGGTCGACATCAAATAGAAGTATCTAGACAATTTTTGAAAATGCTTTACTGTGTAAAACATGTTTTAATTGAACTTTCAGTTTTATGGCTTCACATATTTTTCCAGCAACTCCTGTGTTGGAAACCTAGTCAGTAACTTTACAGAACCTAAAATTACTCCTTACAGCAAAATATGCAAACAATTCACATTTTTATGTTAATTTATTTTTGCATCATATTGGCAGCAAATCCTGAACATTAATTAAATGTCTTTAATAAACATAAGGTCCCTATGCACTTCAGAGAGAAGCACAAATGTCATAGGGTCATATGAAGTCATTGTTTTAATACGTTCAGCCTAAATTGTTCTTCCATCTTCTTTCTTTATTAACTGGAGAGAAGTTGTGCTCATGACAGTCTATTATTCCCAGTTCACGTGCAAAGAACTTCTCACTTGATAGACTGTAAAACCATCCTCAGTCTAAATTTACAAATGTTCACTAAAGTCAATTTTTCTCTTTATAATATTTCTAAAGAACCCTCAAAAAAAAAAAAACTTAGAAGAAGGACTTCAGATATCTTCAGATAATTTGAACACTACAAGAGTTTAAAAAGTTATAATTAATTAAAAAACCCTTTCAAATTATAAAGGACTCCTAATGTTTATGTATTGGTGGAATTATGTTAAATAGAAATTACTTAAATTTCAGACCATAAAAATGTTGTTTCTGAAATTAAAGCAAAGCAGATATTGTGATCTCTGGAAGAAAACCAGGACAACCAGCAAATACACCAAAAGATTTTAAATAAATGAAAGAGAGAGAAGCACAGCAGACCAGTCAAAGACCAAAGCCTTTACAAAGAACTATGAAAAACTGAATGAAAACAAACAATTTTTGTTACTCAACCCAGACCAATTATTTCAAGAGCTATCTATTAAAAAAAAAAAAAAAAGATCAACTTGTGGATTTGTATGCTTGGACTAAACACATCATTTTCAAATATGTAAACAACAGATGAGAAAAAGAAATCATTCAGACTTCATCTCTTGGTTTGAGATGGAACAAGAGGTCTTTGTTTGAATAAAAGTGTTAGACACATTTCATGAACAATGTCAGAACACTGTCCAGATCATTTCTCACTCCATAAATGTTACTCAGAGAGAGAGGGACAGAAAACAAGGCATGCCCTTTTTATATCTCCAATGAACAATGGGCAAGACCTAGTCTCAAAACTATCATTAAAAAGATGCAGGTCATTGCACTAGTGCCTAACTTCAGACCTAACCTTCAATGCTACTACAGGGTGGTAACAATTAAGGTAAAACATGTACAAAGGCAAGCATGAATTGGTATCTTATTTAAACAGGATAGACAAAGACGTAACGCTTTTACCACTAATATTCTTCAGCATAGATAGCACGTTAGAGCTGCTAATATAGTACTCTGTAGTCTGAAGCATGTAAGCCTCAGTTGCAAGCATCCATTTTGTCAAAATTAATGTAATAAAACTGAAGTTAGTATTGCACATTCATAACATAATTTAAAAATACTGCTCTCTTACACATCGACTTTTATTGCTCATGAAAACATTGTAACATATAAAAAGCATTTCTATGGCAAAGAAGCTGTTGCACTGCATAGCAAAATGGTCTGACTGGTTCATAAAAACCATTAATGAGGTAAAGAAGAACGCTTGACACACCAAGATCTCACACAGCACAAAAGACAAACAGGTAGGAGGCCGTTTTACTGCTAGCCAAAGGTAATCTTACCGGTATAACAGGCCTCCTGTACACCTGTTAGTTAAAATATAAAATGTTATCCAACAAAACACACAGATTTGATTTGTTAAAGATACTATATCTTACTTCATCAGATTTTCAGAAGAACTCTACTTCCAAACATTTTAATTATAGCCAGATTTTGAAAGAACTTAACAAAATTATGCAGATCTAGTAGCTCTCATTTGCAGAATTGTTTTGGTCTAAAACCAATCTAGCCACTTCATTTTAGTGATGTAACAAATGCCAAGCTCTTTTGAAACATTAATTCCTAATCACCCTTTTATCCAGCTACAATGTGCTATTGTGAAAAGAGAAGAACGAACTTGGTAATCCTTCTAGGTGGAAGACAATAAGCCTGCAATAACAGCCATGAAGTATAACCACCATATCTTTTGGATTCAAATGGCAAAACAAGGATAGCGGCAACTCTTCTCAACTTATTTCTGAAGGTGTCTGTATTCAGCTACTATAATCTAGGCAATTTTCATTTATATGAACCCCTCATTCAAGAACACTCTCCAGGCAGAGAGCAAGTCAGAGAAGACATACGCAGCAGAGTTCAAACTCAGAGCGATATCATGTTGCTGTAGGGTTTAGCAAGCAAGAGCTCGCTCAGCGCTCTCTAGTTTTGATAATTCACTTGCAGCCCCTTTGCTTCCGTTTGACCCCCGCCCCCAATTACATTCTGGTAAGTTACACAGAGAAACATGAGTAACACCATTAGACACAAGAATCGATATATTTACCTGTTTTTGCAAACATAATGACTGAAATATTAAAAAAAGGATGGAAGAAAGAATAAAGCCGTGAGTTCCCGGTAAATCCAGCAGAAGGCAACAGAACTGCCTGACCAGTTCCAGAAGCACACACACACATCTGGCCCTCCCTGAAGGTTCCGAGTTGTTGTAAGATAGTCTCTAAATGCAGCAATTCAAGGTAACCAAAGGTAACGAAGACCCAGAAAACTGATCAGCGTGCATCAAAAGGGAAAGATGTCTCAAAGGAAAACTGAGTTATAAATGGGTGTTATCTTTTTACATGTGAATTCCATAGTAATAATGAATAAACCCAGCCTGTTAGCGGTACTGACTAAGCAACTAACCTTACCACTGAACTTCTGCAGAAGCTAAGTGCAAAGGAAACCCTCTCCTAAAGCATAGACACCTCTTCACAAGATACTGGTCCTGAACATAACTAAAGACATTCTAGGATAAAAAATTCCATGACGTTATACACAAATACGGGATTTTAAAAAAATCATAGCAATGCAATGATGCCAAATACAATTTATACACAAAAATCCTGAATACCACCAGGCTTAAATTTTTTTCTTTCATTTCTAAGAAACAGAGAAGGAAGGAGAGTTTTAATTATGCCTTAAAACACTTACTGCTGTTAAATAATATCCAAGACGAGCTGGGTACAGAGAAGGAGGTTATTTAGAATTAAAAAGTGCTCTTCATTCCAGAGGAATGTGTTCTAACTCAGAGATAAACTGAACACAAAGCTTACACACTTGGATTTTACTAAAATGAAGTCCTTGATCTACAGGGCAAATACAACATCGACAGCTGTAATGCAAGGTCTCCCACAATGTTTTATCAAAGATGTTAGCCTTGACCTGAAGTAAGCATTTGCAATTCAGCTGCCATAGTTTGGAAGAGCTACACTTTTTTATGAGTATAAGCTGCTGACTGTGCCAATAGTGTGAAACTCTGTGAGGTGAATTTTTAAGTAGACTACGGTCAAAAACATTTTGTGGATTCATCTTCAGGCTTGGGCTGAATCTGACCTGCTGTCACAGAATCTAAAATACACTGTTTCTGGACAACAAACTTTTTCATCACAGAGCATATTAGAAAATACGTTAAAATCCAGTTAAAACCAAGAAAAGATAAAATCTTCATCTGGCCATTTTGCATGAAGATCGTGAAACTGTTTCAAAGAAAAAAGGATCTAGATAGCAGCAGCAGCCTGGGTTTCTTAAAGGTACCTGAAAACACAGGTGACTTTTGTCAATTTGTAAGAGAAGGAAAACTGCACATGCTCCACTCTTGACAGTTCAGTTGGCTGGCTACATATAGAAAATGGCAAATAAGCATGCAAGAACAGGGGTAAAAAAGCATAATGGAACCTATCAGGTAAACCATACTGTGCAATCATTACCTTAATGAGAAAAGTGTTACTGGAAGGGAATGAAAAAGGTGATTTTTTTGTTTGTTTGTTTGATGTTAAGTTCTCTGTCTCTGGTAAAACCCTATGAAAAATGGTAAGTCATTTATGTTCTTTGCACAGTAACAAAGACATATGCATTTCTTTTTTGTGAGATATGGAGAGCTCAGTTCCGTACTCTGAATGACACATGCTATCAGCCTGTAACTACTGATCTACTTTACCAAATTTTTTTTTATGTAGTAATCAAAAGAAAAGACAACTCACTTCTGGCATTTTATTCAAAACATTGACTTTTAATTTTCCTTTCACCTCTCTCTTAATTTTTATTCCATAGACTTCAATGCCACTATTCTAAATACGGAGGAAAACACAAAGCAGATTCAAAAGACTCCTACGCATAATGAGATGTTTCTAGTTCTGAGACATTCAGCGATCACTTAAGCACTTGCCACCTGATAATCAAGGTAGCACTGATTATTAAGACTTTCCTGATCATTCACTCTTTTATCTTAAACAAACCAACGCATTCCTCAAGTCACTTACCCTGTAGTCTCTGGACACGCCTTCTGATGGGACAGAGCCTGAAATCTGACTAGAAATGGTTGCAGCTATCAGCTGTTTACACCATTCCACATGGGATCCAGTCGGGCTACAAAAACAAAGTATTTCAAATTATTTAGCAGTAATTCAAAATGTATATTGAGAACAGCACAGCCACTGAGCACATCCAGAAAACGAGACCATAAACGATGACTAACATAACAAAGATTAGCTTGCTTTGTGGGCAGAATGCAACTGTTTCACTGATCAAATTAGGGAAAAGGATTTTACTAGATCTTATCAGAGAGGTAGAGCTGTCAGTAAGTTAAAACGAGGTTAGGGTCCAAGGAACTTAGAAAAATACTGGTTTCCTTACCCACTGTAATTTTTTTCATCACACTCACATTTTTTTCTTAAAGCCATCCATGGCATGAATTTGGCCAAGTAATAGGAAACTCCTTACGCTTTCCTCATTATTATTTCCTGATTATTCAGTAAATTCTCAAAATTAAGTTACTGTATGCTAGTATTTCAAAATTTAAACTACACTAGTGTTGTATTCTATATTAGTATTAAATGTAGAAAATACATGTTTTCTAAAGGGTAACTTCTAATTAGCCATACTTCTTACCTATTCATAAAATAATCTCTGAATAATCCTCAGGACGTGCCTTCCCATGCCATAGCAAGGAATTCTGCAGTGTAGGGTGTTTACAAGAACCCTAAAGACAAAGCATCTGAACAGCAGAATCGCACTAAATCCCACACGATGCGTTTTCAGAACAGTCGCCTGAACTAGTGCTGCTTACAAGCAACGTAGTATTGAGAGGGAGAAGCAATTACAGAGTTTGTTGCCAGCCACTTTGAAGTGCGCTAGGTCTGCTTCAAAACATGGCAGTATCTGATGAAAAATGGGGAATGCCAGAGGGAACTGTTCCCCAAGTGCCCCGGCAGCCTCAGCGGATGCCTTAGATAACTACCGTTTCTTCAAACGGTTTAGTTGGGCTCTTCTACAGATTTAATGCTCATTCAGAAGTCAAATACAGGAAGAAATATTTAATTCATTTTTAGAATTCATTCATAAACTAGCTTTGGATTCCACAAGTATCCACGAGTGACACTAAAGTGAATAACTACATACACATACCCGGCACCCAACAGCTGCACCGCAACTTGGACATTAAGAGGGTGGGATAACGGCGTAAGATGACCAATTAACTAGAGGTCTTTTCTTACATTAACTCTGCTAGGATAGGTAGATATAAGGCAAAGATGCATGCAACAACTTCATACCTGAAACAAAAGCTCTTTCGGAACTTTTCTGCTAAGTTTTAGTAGCTTTCTCCCCACCCACAAAATTCTACACAGCCCTAGATCACAAAATGTTGTTTTGCAACTGAAACACACGTATGATATTCCTGCTTGAACAATGGTTAGTGCTCAGGTTAGTGATGAACTCGAGTCCAGATTCACTTAGAGAAACTTTTCACTTAAGTTTTGCAAAAGAGTGCATGAGCTAAACCCTACAGTACTCTTTTCCTGATCTCATTTATTTCTCCTTCTCTCACATTTCTTAATTTCTCTTTAGGGCTTGCCTGAAGTTGTTTCCAAATAAGCATTTACTTTTTAATTACGAACAGGATTTATTTTTCTATGGGTTATCTTCACCAGGAATCACCACACCAACAAAGTTAACAGCAGCAGGAAAACGAATGTGAATGCAGGTCCACCTCCTACGATCAGCGTCTCAGGATGTACGGGTGCACCACAGGATGCCGATCGCACCGATGTGACTTAGCACCATCTGTCAGTGGGACACACACCAGCACACGCGTTTGCATGCTCATCTGAGGTCATGCACCTTAGCCTAGCCTGGTGCAACCATACTGGCAAATAAATAAATTGTATGACAAACGGGCATTGTAACTTTTCCAGGGTAGCAGAAGATTAGGAGAGGAAAGAAGGATGAAGATTAAGAAAGAAAGGGCATTAATAAGGAATACAAAGGCATAAGTTTTGGTGATAGAAAATGGACATTTCATTTCCGCCTTCACTAGAACGATGTAAAACCCCAGGTTTCTCCTAACAGAAAAGAGAGAGAGTAGAAAGACTGGAAACCTGGCACCGATTTTTAAAGTCTTTTTTCTTTATTTTTCATCTGGGTGAAATTTCCGTCAGTTTCTACTCCCTGTTTAAGGGTTTTTAAACTCAGCTCTCAAGTCTGTCTCCAGCTGGAAACTCCTGAAGGAAGGAGTTGCTCCGCCAGC